ATTAATTTTAGGTGGAAGCTTTAGATTCCAATTAACGCTCCATGGTTTCGTTGTCGAACCACTCCCAATACCTGATCACTTGTATTGTGGTAGCTGGTTCGCACACTAAACTTCTTGTTTCGAAAATAATACCCAGTGTTCTAAAAATCGGCCGAGGCGGCCGATTAATCGGTCTCTGAGGCGGAGGCGGTCCAAAACCTTTACGATTTTAGTGTAAAGGTTCGAAAAATCGGTTTTTTGCCTGTGAGGCGGTTTTAGGCAGTTTGAGGCGGTCAAACCTTTAAGGCGGGTCAAACTTCGGTGGCAAAAATGGGCCTAAAATCGGTCAAAAATCGTTTTTTTTTAATTCAAAATAAAAGTTGGCATTTTAATAAAAAAAAAATATGAGTTTATGCTTTATTTTGCTTATGTTAACTATTATTGTTAAACAACTAATGATGTATGCCATGAATGTATGTAAATTCAAAAAAAAAAAAGCATTTTTATTTATATTTTATAAGGATATTTATGTATTATGATCTTATTATTATTAAACTTTTATTATGTTATTAGGATATATACATGATGGAGATATAACTGTTTGAATATCTTTTTATCTATGTTTTGAGTATTTATATATAACATTAACAAATCCAAGCCTACCCTACCCGAAAAAAAGTTTCAATAGTATATTAAATTTTAAAAACTGATTTATTTCCGATTTATCACCGATTAATCACCGCCGCACCGATTAATCGTGAGTCGGTTCATGACCGCTTCCGACCCGATTACCGCATTTTACAACCTTGATAATACCGCACCATTCGATCTTCTACTCCGAGATTTCCAATAAGAACTTCCAAAATTCTATCTTTGTCGAACGGCCAAAACACATCATTAATAAGCTGTTCGTACCAATTTTTCGTGGAATTGTCAATCAAACCTGCTACCCTGTCTGGGAAAGACGAATGCAACGGTCTCTTCGTTATAACCTTGAAAAATCCATCCATTTCAAGCCAGGAATCGCCCCAAATTGCTGTATTTTCTCCATCCCAATTATCTTCCTTAAACCAATTTCGAGAAATGGTTTTGTATAAATAATGTTCTTCCAAGTAGCCGAGGGTTGCACCCCAATTGAAGCTCTAAGAAAATCTGTTCTCGAGAAGTATCTTGCTTTAAGTAGTCTCGGTAACAAAGAGTCGAGGCATGTAACAATTCTCCAACCCTGTTTTGTGAGTAAAGCTATGTTAAAACTCTTAAAGTTTCTGAACCCCATTCCTCCTTATTTTTTGGCTCACAAAGGTGATTCCACGACATCCAACTCATTTTTTTGTTAACTCCATCACCCAACCCGAAATGTCGAATTGTTGCCTCTATATCACTGATCAAGGAATAGGTTTATGAGATGTTACACACGGTGATAAGCATCGACGTGATTGTACATCTATATATATATATATATATATATATATATATATATATATATATATATATATATATATATATATATATATATATATATATATATATATATATATATATATATATATATATATATAACCACCCACTAAGCAAACATACAAATGAATATGTTTACTATTATGTGTAGATCAACAGTAAATGACAGTAAATGATCATCTGATGTATTTCACTAAATGTTGCATCTACAAAAGCATAAATCAAATCGATCCGAATCTAAATTTGGATAATTATAAGATGTAAAAAAAAAAAAGTAATATGAACATATCACTAGAAAACAGAAAAATACAATAAAAAAAAATTGCAATTGTAAAAGGTGGAAGAGATATAGGCTTTAGGACACGAATCATGGGACATGATGGACCAATATATATATACTCATCTCTTCAAAGAATATTTTCTTCTTTTTTTTTTTTTTAATTTAATAATTCTCTTCAAAGAATATAATGCCTATAAATATGAGCAATGCACCATTTCAATTTCTTCACACTCAAAAAATATAAACTTCACGTCCTCAACATATATATAAATATATACAGTTTGAGCATAATTTATATTACCAAAAATTTCTGCTGATTTGTGAATCTTGTCCATTAGGGTTCTATATTAAGATTTATTATTACTGCAAAATCAAAAAAAAAAAAAAATGGAGAAACAAGCAAAGCAGGTTGGATCATCATCTTCGTCATTCACCGTAGATTTGTTTGGACCAAAACAATCCTCAGAATCTTCGTCCTCGTCAACATATTTCTTTGGATCAATCTTTGGTCCACCGACTTCAACGGTATATTCTCCATCTGTCCTATATTATTTATCTTTTTGACGGAGAATTATTTGTTCTAAATTATTTGTCACTTTACAATTCCAATGAAACATTAATTGCATTATTTTCGATTTTACTATTTATCGCTCTTAATTAATTAAAACACTTAATCACGATGATATTTTACTGATTTTTTTTTTTTGCTATAACCTATACACATGTATTAATTTTCTTAATATGTGCGCATGCAACAACAAAAAAACGACATATAAAATGGGGACTATTAGTGAGAACCCCCTCTAGCTTTATTTTAATGAGGATAGATCTAGCTCATTTTCCTTTATTAGTGAGAGACCCATCTTTTTTTTATTCTCAAATTTACCCTTCATCTATTTACTACCTATTATACACTACTTTGATACACTTTTATTTTTTTATTTTTTTGTATTTTAATTTTAATTTTCGTTTTTTTTTTTTATTTCTTATTTTAAAAAAATATATTTAAAAAAAAATATTTTTTTTAACTTTTTTATTATATTTTTTTACTATATTTTTTTGTCTTCAGTTAAAACAACTATATTTCAATAAAACAACTATTATTAAAACAACTGTTATTAAAACAATAGGATTAAAACAACTATATATCTCCAGCAACTCTCATTTATCAAAATCAACTATTTGTTAAATCAACTATTACATTCAACTAAAAAGTAATAAAAACAACTACATTGTTGCACGAAAACAACTATATTGCTGCACGAAAACAACTATATTGCTGTACGAAAACAACTATATTGCTGTACGAAAACAACTATATTGCTGTACGAAAACAAATATATTGATGTACGAAAATATCTATAAATCTGTAAATAACACCACACAATTTCAACAAAAACAAACATCCATTATACTAATGATTGAACACAAAATTAGCCTTCTATATAAGAATTCAACCAAAAACTCCAATTAAGAAAATTAAGATTCGAGAATTGGGTTCCAAAAAAAAAAATCAGAGACGAAGAAGAAGAACAACAACAATGAAACAATGTGGCGGTGGTCTGTATTGAAATCTCAGACGCAATATCAACCCTAGCGCCGCTGCATAATCTCGTTTTTCTCCATAGCGAAAACCCTAACGCCGTCCTTGACGAGAGAATCCCAGGGGTGAAGATCGTCTTCTTTTCGCGTTGGTGGAGGGAGGAACGCCGTTGGGAGAAGAGAGTAACGATGGCGGCGCAAAGACGGAAGAGGGTTGGAGGCGGTGGCAGAACATAGATGGAAGAGAGTTGGAGGCGCCGATATGTAGAGAGAAAATAGAGAGAAGAATAAGAAAATAGAGAGAACGTGAAATATGTTTGGTTATTTTAGATATAATAGGGCAAATTAGGTATATTAGTAATGTCAAAAACAATATTAATTAAAAAAAAATTATTTAATATAAGGTGGGGGGTTTTCACTAATAATGAAAAGGAGGTTATATCCACCTTAATATAAGTAAATGAATTGGGGGGTTTTCACTAATTATCCCTATAAAATGAGACGGAGGGAGTATATGTTTGTCGATTCTGATTTTTTATACTTTTATTAATTGTACGCTAATTAATTGCAGAATGAAGAATAATTAATTGTAGGTAGTAATCATAGTTCTACATTTTTTTTTTCTATTTTTCCTTTTGGTTGGATTTTTTATTTTATTTTTTTTTAATTCAGCACGTTGCTTAGGGAAGGAGGGAAGGGATAAGATATACGAGAACAATTTGATTTTAACTTGAATATATTGACATCTTTCACTGTATTCCCACACTAGAGCATATTCCTTTTCAAATAAATATTACAATATACCCATTCAAATTTACATTGACTAGATCTTTAAACTCCATCTACACACATAAATATATATATATATATATATTAATTATTTGCAATACTATATATGTAAAATATTGCTACAAATATTTGATGCATCTAATTTGTAGTTTTTGTTTTTCTTGAAATTTTAGGTGCCTGGAAGAGACAGCTCTACCAAGGAATATGTGCATGCCTATGGCAATGCCAAACATGAAACTACTACAGGTTTGTAATAATAATATATTCACCACGTTAATAATATTCTTTTTTTTTTTTTTTGTAATAAGATTTTGAAATAATAATGATTAATGTTATATATAAATGATCAGATAATTATAAGAGTGAAAAAGGGAAGAAATGCAAAAATTCAAATAATGAGAAAGGAAGATCTGAGCCATCCTACTACAACTCATCCATCTACTATGGTGGCCAACAAGTTTATTCTCCCACAACTCACAATAATGTAAGTAAAGTAATTCATACAAAAATGAGGGAAACTCATTTATTATTATTGTTTCTACAAAATTATAATTTTTTTAATGATATATTTTATATAAAAAAAAATAAGGGTTTGAAGCCTTATATTATATAATTATTTCTTCTTCTTTTTTTTTTGTTATATAATTGAGGTCTTTATATAATTTTTTATTTCATAAATATATATAAAAAAATAGTTTTGGAGGCTTAGGGCCATCATTGCTCTATCTTCCCGTTTTTGACACGTTTGGTGCAAAACTAGTCCTAATATTCGAGGAACGCATTCAAATACAGTAAACCTCTATAAATCAATATAGTTGTCACTAACAAAATTCTATTAATTTAGCGACATATTAAATTATTCAGATAATTATTTAGCATGTTGTCACCAAGTTGGAACCGGAAAAACTTAGTATTTTAGCGTGGTTGTATTTATCGAGGTTCTACGTACTGTATTAATGCATATATACAACAACAGAATAGCAAGTGCGATAGAAGATAGAAATGTTGTAAAATGTTCTATTAAAGAAACTCGATTAATTTGGAATTAATTTGAGCAGTTGAAGAAAGATGATGAAGGAAATGGTGGTGTAAATGAAAGCAACTCTAGTGGTGCCTCAAGAGGAAATTGGTGGCAAGGTATGATTTTCTTTTTCCGACTCGTCATTTTCTTATTTAATATTTCAATTTTCGTTATCGGAAAGTTAGCTAAAATGCAAGCGCCGACATATATTTGCAGGATCACTCTATTATTGAAGAAGAAGTTGCTTTTCACTGAATTTCTGCTATGAAAGAGAAGGTGATTATATTCATGAGGAATTATGAATATAAGGTTATGCATTATGAAAGTATTATTAGTGTAGATCATTAACCTGGAACCAGCTAGTTATTGTAACGTTTTGTTCCCGTTTTAGAGTACTTAACTTAATTACGTACTTATGAGTTTAATTACTACTACTTAACCTTTGTATCGTGTTGCAATGTTTAATAAACTAAAACTACGAGTCTTACTCTCTTTTTTTCTTTCTAATCTATGATAACTGTTATCTTTGCATATTAAACAGCCAAGTATAAAATGATTTACAATACGAGCTTATCATCTTGATTTAATTTAATTAACTACACTTGAAAACACGTAAATCAATAGATTTGGAATGACAAAATTATTAACTTCAGCCCTCTCGCGTGGTTACCAAGACAAGATTAGTGAAGATAAGATTAAATAATCTAATGAAAACCCAATCATTAATTTATCGGACCCGGGACCTCCAATAAAAAAGTTTCTTAAGGCAAAAAAAAAAACCATAATAACATAATATTTGCGGGTCGGCCCGGCAGGTTAATGGATTTAAGTTATTGTGAATTAATATTTGAGGTTATTACAAATAAGTTCATGGTGGGTAACTTATTCTAATCTAAGTCCACCGCTAAATCTCTTTTACAAAAAAGTCCAAACAAAGTTCAGAGGTACGTAAATGACTAAAATACCCCATCATGTTTTAATATACTCCAATTCCACACTCCCTCTTTCGCCTCACTAGAACCACCATGAGATACACCTCAATTCAACAAATGCCCACATAAAATTGAAGAATAAGAGCAACAAAATCATCTCTTCACTCCTTCTATTTGAATCGCAAGGTTCTCAGAAGAAAAACCCCATGAAAAAGTCCTAAATTCCAATTTCTTGCAAGGATTCTCAAGTATGTCCTTTGATCCCATTTACTCAATAGTAATCTCAAAAGATTTAGCCAAAAAACCTCAAGTTTTAGTGAAGATGAAACAACAACAACAAAGAAACAATGAGATTCCGGTGCCATGAAAAAATCGCAACTTTCTTTTATCCTTGCCGCAAAGCTCACCGTCGCCAGTCCAAAATAATTTCTTCTCTTTCTCCCCTTAGACGAACCGAAAAACCACTGCTCCGATTCAAGCATACTTCTATTGCTCCTCATTCGGCTGATTATGTCCGAGATTTGGGATTTTGATTTGAGGGGGAGGACTCAACAGGGGCTTGAAGTCGTAGAAGCGGAGGCGAAGGAGGGCCATGTTAGAACCATCAAAGAAAAGATTCTCTTCAAAGTGGGTACGCGGTGGTTGTGAGGATAGAGAATGCCGGCGAGACGCGTGTAGCGGCCTGGGTTTTGCCGCTCAAGATTTAATTTTGGGAAATTGAATTGCCGAAAAAAAAAAAAAAATTAAAGCATATTAAAGGTGAAGTGAAAGTATGTTTACCATGCTTGTACGTACTCAAAGATACAACCTCAATAGTGCAAACGTATTTTAAGGTCAAAAAGGTAAATGCCCTCATATACTTAAGAAGTTAAGTTCTTAACAATTGACTGAAAACAGCATAGGGCGTTTCGTTATGTTTTGTAGTTTAGTGGGGCGTTTGATACAAACTCATAGATCAGTAGTATAAACTGTATTTTTTCCCTTTTTTTAATAATAAGTAAATAAAAATAATAATAATTATCAAAGTAAATAAGATGAAAGAAACCCTAGTAAACTTTGAAAAGGGTAAAAATAGTATAAACTAACTATTTGGGTTTATATCTAATGAAACTTTGAACAAATGTGTATTACTCAAAACATAAAAAAAAAAACTTGGATTTATCCCACATTATGTAGATTAGTGAGGGACTATCACAAATAAACCCCTTATTTATTTTTGCATGTTTACATTGTTATTAACATATCAATATTTATGGATAACCCAATAAATAAAAATGATGGAGGATGGACACAAAAGTAATCAATATTTATGGATTTCTTTTTAATGCATAATTAATTATATAGACTAGATGAACTAGCCCACAACAGATCACGGGCTGCAAGAAACAAAACATGCCAAGAGCTCGTCCAGTGGAACGCGAGTGTCGAAGTGGACCAGGACATTCATTATATGGGCCGGACGAACTAAAGAGCTCGCGCCCTATGCTCCTAGTACATCTGGAGACATCAAGGAAGATGCAATAAGTAGCGAGCTGGTCTTACGATCATTGGGAATATATATATGATTCGGAGATAACTTCCATAAATAAATAATCAGTGCATATATAGTAGAGCTAGCATTTAATTGGCCAAGGGGGTGATGACCCCCAACATTTCTCAAATCCTATCATTTTATACACAGATTTCTCAAATCCTATCATTTTATACACAGATTTCTCAAATTTTGTTTTCTTTCGTTTTGTTCTGGTTCTTCTGCCTTTGTGCATCAACTCAATGCAATGTCATGGTGTTTAATTATATAGTACTGAATTATATTTTCTCACGATTAGCTATAGTTGGAGTTTGGGTGAATGGCGTTACACCAATGAAATGGCGCCTATTCCGTTTATTTTACATTTGAACGAGTCTATAGTCTATATTCAATTCATTCTTATTAAAGAAAATAAACTTTTCGTATGTTCTCGTACATTATTAGACGGTCTATATTTATTTAATTTTAGCTCCCCGCGTTGTAAATGTTTGAATGGCTCATGTTCTCACATGATCAAGAAACTACAATGAATATTGATAACTCAACTAATTAACCAATGGAAATATGATTGTGTCACTATGTAAACATTCTTTTGTAAGAAAACTAAAAGGACAGCTATCGAAAACAAGAATCCTCCTACCGGTCCATATGTTGTGTCCTAGAATCACAAGATGATGATTCCTTCACATCAATGCTCAAATGAGATCTCGTCCCATCATTTGTTCGATTCCCAACCGGTCCCACCACACATTCGAGAGTGGGTCCACCAAAATAATTCGTGAGTGCTCGCTTGACTCCCAAGCCACGACGTGCGTGCTTGTTGTGAAGTGGGGTCCGCTCCCCTCTCGCGGGGCTCGCCAGACGGGCCGGAGAAAAATTGGGAGTCGCGTATGCCGTTTTGTATGGAGTGCCCGAGAGGGACACCGAATACGGGGAGGGGGCCTTTTTGTGAGAAATGTTTGAATCGAGTTTATCGGAATCTTTATTAATGTCGTCCACGTAAAGTAGATCATCTATACGCGCCACTATGTTGAAGGCCAAACTCTCCAACACCCTCGAGTAGCTCTCCAAAATCGACTTCCCCACATCCTTCAAAACAGATCCGGCATGAAGAAATCGTCAAAACAGATGACTAATAATATAAAGTTTATACTTTATAGTTCACTGAATTTACATTTAGTACCCCTGCGTTATATCAAACTGCTTAAAAGTTTCCCATGTTAACCCCTTATAATGCTTTTTTTTTAGCACATGAACCCCTACATAGTGTGTTTTTAGGGGGCAATTTGCTAAAAAAATTGAATCATGGGGAGTTTTGAAATTAGACAAAATACAAGGGTGTTGAATGCAATAAACCCTTATACTTTATACAGACCTCGTTTGGTTAATGCGTTAACTTTTCGGCCCCACATTAGATTGCAAATATCTTATTTAGGCTAGCTAGTTACATTGCGATCACCAAACGAGGCCTTGGGGAAAAAAAACTAGATTAGGCCTTAGAAATTAGTTAAACTACGAGAATATAATCTAACCTTGTTGCATTGTATTTTGGTGGCATCTAAAGTAGTTTGTGAGAGACCCGGAAATCTTTGCTTCAACGATAGAAGGAGGCTTTCGGCTCGTTCGGCAAGCAACTCGCTCTTGTCCACATACGTCACGAGACCCCTAACCATCTCCCAAGACGATTTGGAAACCGAGCTATTTGGACGAGCTGGCGATTTGGGGTGTTGTCTTCTGTGCCACACGTATATTGCAGCTTCGACCCGATTGGCTATCTCCAAAGCTGCATGTTCGGAAGATATATCGAGGCAATCGAGCAAGCATTTACTAGAGAAATTTTCCGAAGTGATGTAACGGTAGATTACGTCTCCAAGACAAGCTCTCCCATTCTATTTTTTTTTTTTCGAAATACAATAAAATTAAACTGTCAAATTACGTTTTTAGGACATAAAAATACATATATCGCGAAAGAAGCTAACAAGTAATTAAGATGTATTTACATGTGACGAGAATCAAGATTTCTAACAAAACTATATGTAGCCCACTAATCATACTTTTATACATAATCACATACATACACATGTGGATACAATTAAACCTCTATAAATTAATACAGTCGGGACTAGGGAAATTCTATTAATTTAGTGAATTATTAAATTATCGAGTTGTTAATTTAACACGTTTTCACCAAGTGGGGACCGAGAGAAACTATTATTTAATCGAGGTTATTAATTTATCGAGGTTCTACTGTATGTAACATATAGTTACTATCATGTGTATGTATGCCGAAATATATGTTGGGATCTAGATATACGGTGATCACTAATTATAACATTGCACGAAAGTAGCTAATATGCACGGAAATAATTTCATATTCTATCGGGATTCGATTTTTTTTTTTTTTTTTGGTTATTCAAACCTTTGGGAGAGTTTCCATGTACGACTCGGGAACTTCCATGTCAGCTAGAGCTATGGTGTTAATGGAGGTAGCAGCTTTAAGAATCTGGTTCGCGCATTCACGTTGGTGAAATAATTGTTTTCTCGAGCATTCGGAAAGACCGCCATGTGGGACCCGAGGAACCGGGAGCCACCATTTATCCTCTTGCCGCTTAATAGCTTTCTCGAAAGAAACCGATCCATCTGTTTCTGCTGCTACAATACCTCCTTGATCTACGTACCAAAACTCTGTTTTTTTAAATCCATCTAATATTTCCTGCAAACACCGATAAACGACGATGCATAAGATTTATTACACATGCATGCTAGAAAGATAGATAAATAAATAAATAAAGATATTGATTTCACTCTTACGAGCAGCATATTGTCGAGTTTGCGAAGTGCTGGCAGATTGATAAATAGATCACATCTTGGCCGACAAGTCATAACCTGAGAATCGAGGAGTCGAGAATTTGAAATCCTTAAACGAAATATATATATGCCACGTAAACGAGATTCCCTCGATTTTTGTGTGGACAAAATGAATTACCTCAAGCCTAGTTCCATCGGGAAACGTTTGCCAAGACGGTGTAAATTCGACAATATGGTCACTCACACATAAAAGCCATTCCATCTCTCTTTGCCACTTCGATTTCTTTTCACACGGCAAAGGCTCCAATCTCCACACTTGCCCAAAAATAGTAGCTATATGTAACAAAAATACGTAACAAATCGGAGTTAAGCCATTAATTTTGCATAGCATATATAGAGCACAAGCAAATGTCTCAAATACTTCGATTGACACAAATCTAAAACTAAAAGTAGAGATTTGTGAATACTCGGTAAACTAATAACCTTATTTAAGTAAAACAGAAAAAAATTATCGGTCCCGAGTCCCGACTGTATTTCACTAAATTAATAGAAATTTGTCTGGTGGTGCCGACAGTATTAATTTATAGAGGTTTAACTGTAATTTGTATACCACATAGATTTGTGATTGCATTCGAAATAGTCAATGCTGCGCAAACGCCTTTACCGCTACCGGACATGTCTTCGCCGAGTAACAATTTGGCAAATCGCTCTTTCATCATATCCATTTCTGCAATTCATTCGGACAAAGTAACACTTAATCACTTGATCAAATTCCAAATTATTAAACTTACTTATTTTCAGCAACTTACCTTAACATAAAAAATTAAAATTAAAATAAAAAATTAGAGGTGAAAGGTAAGTAATAATTGACCTGAAGCTTTCAAACCCTGCTTCTTCAGTTTAGACTCAACATCAACATTCAAATGTGGCGGCTTACTTTTCGAAACATTTGCCGCCTTTCTTACAGGCCAGCCCAATTGAGCCGCAGAGCAATTGTCGGAGCTCGATCTGCTGTCGGAACTCGTGCTGCCGCAGCTATCTCTTGACTCAGTAACTGAGCCGTAACTAACCGACTCGGAGCCGTCTTTCTTCTCTGTCTTCTCCGCTGCACTTTCCATTCCGGAAAAAAAAAAAAAAAAGGGGGAAATTCACAAACCCTGATTTCAACTGCAAAGATTCAGTTTTTAATACGAAATTTATCGAAGGATTTTAGCGTAGAAAATGTGGTTTCTGGGTCACACTGATTTTATTCTCTGTTATTTACTCTGTGCTACTGTGCGTAGTAGCACTGCAAGGAATTTGATTTTCAGGCCCCCCCTTTTTTTATTTGAAATGTTTCTTTTCTTGTTGATAATTTTTTTAATTTGAAATATATTAGTTTGTAGGGGTGACGATGGATCTGACAAAATGCCTTAGTATTTACGATATTGCCCTTTCTGGATTAGAGTCAAATAGAATAATATTTATATTTTAATCAACGGGTGGTAATTTTGAAATTTGGGTCTTTTTTCCTATGTTGGGAGTCATGGCATAGACCTAGGTGTTAGATATTCACCTTTTTGGTTATATTCTCTTTTGATCAATTATTCAAATTTTGAAACTCATACGAGGTTTTCAATAGTGTGTGTTGTATATATTGAATTACCATATATCACGGTATATCAATCGAGAATTGCCGAAAATTTATCGAAAGAATGGTTACTATTGTCTACGGTACGGTATTAGTATTGTACCAATACAATGTGGTACGGTAGTAGTATTATATTTTTAATACCACGGTAATATTATACTGTATCGCTATTTATATTTTATAATTTGATTAAGATATTTTGTTTCCATATTATTTTTTGTATTATATGACAACAATTATTTTTACCTTACCTTTTCTTTTTTAAACAATTTTTTTAACTTATAGGCTTTTTTTTTCAACTCCAAGTTGAATTTTGAAATTATACACATATGTTCTGTTAAGTTGTCTTTTATACTCCATATTGCCAACTAATTTTATTATATTTGATGTATGATTGATTATTTATTTTACATACAACATATGTATAATATCGGTAAAGTATTTATTGTATGTAATAATTAGTAAGTACAATAAGTTCTGAAAAATATACCTAGTTGTTCCATTAAATCATATTTACATTAGTTTGGTATATGTTCTTGTTTCAATGAAGCAAATTATATTAATTATTCATGATTATACAACCAGGTCTTCTTAAAAAAGAAGATAAAAGAGTAACTAGAACTATTTTCAGTTGAGATTTGCATTCCCGTTAACTCATTTGTTTTTTAACCTTCGATGATTTTCAACTATAGGAGAGTACTAGATACCGATTATACTGTACCAAAAATAACGGTATATCGAATATTGGTATACAAACTTTAATACGGTAATTGTATGAATTTTTCAATACTGTAATGTACAGTAGATACACGATATTGAGCCAAATATTTGGAATCATTCAAAATCTACCCATAGATCAGACTATTGTTTTTCTTTCAAATTTTTAGTAAGTTTAATTTGCAATCCTAATATGATCATCAAAGTGTAAATATAATAATATATAATGATCTTTATTGTATTTCTTTCAAATTAAACTAGAGGATTTGATTGTCACCTGATTCACCCACACTAATTATTATATGGGGCATTAACATTGAACATAGTACAAGTATATTAATAATTTTCTATGATATATTTACTTTGTCTTACACTCATACTTGCACTATTTTAACTGATATTGATGTCATTTAATTAATAATTATATTCTCCTCGTAGTTAGAGAAAAATATAAAGTCTAGAATTGATAGCCACAACAGAAAGTTGGTGATATAATTTAAAAATTAGGTGATCATGCTCCACATATGTATCCACCTACTTGAGCCCCACTTCCTTATGACTTATCTAATTTCAATTTAGAATTAATCATCCGGCTATTTTAAGATGCTGTAGGCAAAAGCTTTCATAAATAATCTACAAACTTTCTTTTACTTATAATCTGTTTATATGTGTTTGTAAAATGAACTTTTGTTTTTTATTTTTCTTAAATAAGCAATTTTTAACTTTAATTTGTAAAGTATTTATGACCTTGTTTTTTCTATTGAAATTGATTTTCCAACAAATATGCAAACACTCTTAACTCATAAAATAAACACTTAAAACACAATCCATAATTTCTTCTTGAAATAAGCTTAAAAATGTTTAGGGTAAAAAAAAATGTAACATCTTTGAGTTTGTAGCCATAAAAAAAAGGCATTTGAGAGTGTGGCTACATAGTTTATTAGGAAAGCCTATGAAAATCAGTATGTCTATATTATCAATAAAGAGATGAAGATAATTATTAATTAATTGCACATTGCTCCAAGTAAATATTTTATTATGGGTTTAAAGGTCAATTATTCCTTGGGGAATGAAAACTTTGGAATTAAGTGAAGTAAAACATTCCATTCTTTTGAATATAATCATAAATTCTATTAAATAATGAAGTATAACTCCTATACTGCATACCTAGTTTGACTTGATGATATTTTACATATAAACAATGAAAAATAAAATTTATGCAACATACAAGAAAAATATTTTAAGTTTATTTAAAAGAGTTAAATAATTCATATATAATTTTTGTTAGCAAGATCCTTTTTGCTATACTTTTTTCATTCACTATTCCCAAAATGTAAGCTACAAATTAATTGTTTGTCCGGCTTCTCATGCGAGCAACCAATTTTTTTCGAGTGGAACAAAATTTTCAATTCGAATTCAGAAAGGTTTGAGTGCGATTTTATGATTCCTTTTTCGAATGGAATTGAAACACAAATTGGACTTATTTGTATTTTATATTATAGGTAACTAAAAAAAAAAAGTTCGAGTTCACTGATTCTGATCCGAAAAATTCCAACCTTTGAACAAAAAAATTCATTCCAATTTTCAAAATTAAAAAGAATTACTTTTTCGATTTTTTATTTATTTTTTGTGAACACAATTATAATTACTTTTCACTTTCTAAAAAGATTAAAGAGAAAATTCTCACACAAAAAAAAAAAAAAAATTTAAATTTTCACTAGTGATTTGATCTGATCCGTCCGATTTTCACAACCAGTTACTATAAATTCAAAGTTTATATAAACTTCAAATTGTTCCATCCAAATACAAGTGCTAACACATATGGACGAACAAAACAGTATTCACTACATGGAAAAGAAAAGAAAAAAAATTAATAAGCGCAATATTAGTGAATGATTGATGATGATGTTGCATCACTGCATAACTTGGGAATTGAAATTAATCTAAAGTGTACATGATTAAATTAGGGACTCTATTAATTTACTTTAATTCTATGTCATGTGATATTGAAGTTATTCTACTGTCTACAATCTACGCATCGTGTTAATTAAAGTTAATTATATAATTATAAATATATATTTTAAATTACTAGACACGTAAACTAACAAATAATGCTTTTGTTTTATTTTATTTTATTTTCTTTTATTCAAACAAAACGAGATAAGCTTAAAGGATAAATTCAAACTCGAGTGGAGGGAAATAAATAATGTCATATCAGATATGCATTAGTTCATGTTCTAAAGGATCAGTTTAAAGGTCTCTCAGTGAGAATATTGAACTGATATTACTTTAACTAAAGAGAGAATGAATAATTGCTTCTTTTTTTAAAACAAAAGTTTTAAACTTTAATATTCCCTTCGTTCGTAATCAATTATCGTTTTTCAGCTTTGCAAATGTATTAAGAATGTCAATAAATGTGTCTTGATTTTTGAAAAAAAACACATTATAAAAGACTAAAATAATCTTTATTATTTAATGATGTGATTATATAAAGTTAGTAAGTAATACTTAGAGTTGAATTAATAAGGTAACAACATGAAAAATGCATCTAATTCAGTATTAAAAATCTAAAGTAACAAATAATATAAAAACAATAGAGTTATCAACTTATCATTGAACCAATGGAGGATTATATATCTATTTATGAATTTTTCTCGTACATATAAGGGCATCTCCAAGCTTGGGTGGTAAAAAATGGGATGCTATATCTATTTTAGCTAACAAATAGTGTTTTAATAACTCATTTTCTACCATTCACTCCAATCATATTATGTAGGGGTGGTTTCGGTACGGTTACCGAACATTTTGTTCAATACCGTGTACCTACCGTATCTTTCGGTATTGAAAAATTCTATACCGTTACCGTACCAACAATTGCGGTATACCGTTATTCGGTATACCGTTAGTTTCGGTACGGTATAATCGGTACGTGGTAATCTACCGTACGTCATTTTGTTGATGAACTCGGATGATACAATAATTAAGATGAATACTAATTAAATGCATAAATACAACAAATTAAGCAAATGAATATGGTAATCAAACAATTTACATGAATATACATTATACGGCCGTAATAGCGTATGTTGCTTCAATTAACTAATGATTACTAAGATATGTATAGAAAAATTGTAGAAACTAATGAGCAAAAAGTTTCATGGTTTAAGTAAGATAAATAAAAAAAATTATGTTGTAATAATGCAAATGAAACAAAAGGGTGAGAACTTAGGGGGAAAGAAAGGGAGAAGAAAATTATGGCAAAAAATATTCCACCAATAAGAGATTAGTTGGACTTTGAAACTAAAGAAGTACGTGAAATAAACAAGTTTAACGAGAACCAAATTAAATATTGAGTTTGCATAAATATATGAAAATAATAAAAAAAAAAAAATAGAATTATGTATATATAATATATATAGGATGTATCATATCTTTATTCTTGTTTTTTATTTTTATTTTATAATATTTGTTGACTATATTTTTTATATTTACAATATAAAGGGTAAAATATATTAACTAATTTTTAAAATACAAAGTTACGGTACGGTACGGTATTACCATGGTATTGAAGATACAATACCGCTACCGTACCGTAAAATAATGGTACGGTACCGATACCGTACCAAATATAGTGGTAACCGATAGTTCGGTATTTATTCGGTAATTGTTGGTAGGTATACCGTGGTAATCGGTATTTGGTAATTTTTGCCCAGCCCTAATATTATGTATAGTTTACCATTCTAATATATTTTATTATGTGTTGAATATTTATTACTTTAACTTTCTACTTTTTGCCATTAAAAACCTATTATTTCTTTTACCATGTGTGAATAGTTGAATGCTATATATAGCATTCCTCTCTCCTCCTTTAGCATGTGAGCTAAATTTTAGCTTACCCATTGGAGATGATTTTTTTCTATTTAGAAGAGGTAAAAGCTATAATTTAACTTTTAACTCTCCATATTAATCATGGTTGGAGATGCTCTAATAGTGTAAGATATTTCAAGTAAAAAGGAGTGTTTCAAGTTAGAAAGTATTAGAGCCCACTTAGTTTCATTTTCAAACTCATTTTTATCTAAACTATGTAAAATACTATGTAAAGATCGTGAAGGTGTTATACCCGGAACTAAACACGGCCACGGGTCGGGTCGGGTCCTCTCAGGCCCGGGCCGGTTCCAAGTTGGGTCCTGGTCCAAACCGGATTTTTAAATTTTTTTTTCTTTTTTGTTAATTATAAATTATAATAAGGAAAAATAAAATAAAATTAAAAGCACTTGAGCTTAACTTT